AAGGGGGGTATCTGAGCCCTGGGTGGCAGTAAGGGGGTGCCTAGATCCTGGGGGCAGTAAATAGGGATATTTGGACCTGGGGGCAGTTATGGGCAGTATCTAGACCTTGTGGGGAGTAAGGGTGGGTATCTGAGGTCTGATCATACGGGGATATGTGGACTCTGGGGGCAATGGGGCCTGGTCCCTGGTGGTGTCTCTTCTTGTTTACACACTGCCCCTCTGGTCCCACCCAGCCTCCTGGCTCAGCACCAAGGCTTTGGCTGTGGTGGGGTAGTTACAGAATTGGGCCCCCCATGTAGATGCTGCTGAGGGCCCTCACTTGGGACCAGCCCCCCCCCATGCACAACTGGAGTGGGGGAGGGGTTTTAGTGATACCCAGGCCTGGGAACCTCCCAAATCTGGGGGGGGCTGTGACAGGGATAGGGGTACTCTGTTGGGAGCTCTAAGCAGGGGATCTACCCCTCCTCCACACACACTCTGGCTGGAGCTATATGGTGGGCTGTGGTTCCAGGCTTCCCCCGCCCCATTATATGCGGCTGCTGTCGCCCATCCCAGAAACAGCCTCAGTTTCCCCAGTCACTGGGGGAATCCTTTGTTTTTCCTTCCCAAAAGGGTGTGTGGATATTATTTGGGAAGGTTGTGTTATACAAGAAAATATGGTATTTACTTATCCCTCACTCATTTATCCCTCACTGGTCAGTTAGGACTTGATGATTGTCCATTTCCTTCCTAAACAAGTAAACTGATTCTGATCCCTTTGGTTAAAGAGGGGGGGAAATTCATCCTTCTGCTTTCCAGAAACGTACCTTACTGGATGTATGGTACATGAGGAAATATGGTAACTGTGTGCCTTGCCCTGCCTCAAAGGCTTGGAATGGTGGCAAGATGTGGGTGATTGGTCCCTAGAGGGGGAGAGTATGTAGACTCGCCCTGCCCCCCATCTCCCATGTGTGGAATCTGCCTTTTGCAGCTGCTTCCTAGTTTTGCCCAAAGTTCGAAGTACCATATTTACTGATGTACCACACTCAGCCTCCTCTCCCCTCCCCACCACTGCAAATGGGGCTGCAGGTCTCAAACTGGTTCTGGTTAAAAGGGGCCATTTCCACCCACCCCTCTGCCCCCCTGCTTCATTAAGGCACATGTCTTCTTTGGGGCACATGGCATGCAGGGAAATGTGGTAAGTCCTAGGTGCTTATACCCGTCCCAGTCCAGTAGGCCCCTTCCTACGCTTCATCCTCTGCTGTATTTTCCATCGTATGAGATGCAACATTCTCCCCCCGCCATGGTGCCTTTTACATAGGAAAAACGCTTGAAGCTGTAAGGGTGCATTTATGCACCTACGCTGTGAGTCTTCCCCCTGAGAATTGGCAATCAAGGATGGTGCAGGGGGTGTCTCTGGAAGGAAACTGATGCCATTTGGGTGAAAAGGAGGAAACTGATTCTAGCTGTGTTGGTTAATGCATTGGTTAAGGTTCCTCCTTTTAACCAACCTGTCTGGAATCAAGGAACACAGCTCTTTCTTTTCACATTTATTGTCTTCTATTAACAAGGCATAGATCTGATCTGACAGTGCGCGCTATGTGGATAAATATGGTAATTAATTATTTAGGTGGGTGTTCCTTTATATCCCATTTTATGCATCGCAGCTATGCAAGGAAACTTACCATATTTCCTCATGTACCACACGCCCACCCCTTGTTTTAGATGAGGAATATGAGGCTGAATTGTCCAAGGCAGCCAGAGCACCTGTCTGTATTTCCCTGCTTATAATGGGCACCCCCCATTCATTTCCAGCAGCTAATTTTACGTGGGGGTGAGAGGTGTGTGGGGTAGATGGGGAAGTATGGTATAAGGAGTACCTAAAAACTGGATCCAATATAGGTTTAAACTCTCCCTTTTTGGGCCATGATCCTTTGCTTTGAGGAGTATTTTATATACCGAAAAGTATGGTAAAGAGCAGTGAGGTGTTAAAGGGGCCTTGCCTGCTATTAGGGTGATCAGAGGTTTAATGAGTTAGTGGTGAGTTAATGAGAGGCTGAGGGACGGGGTGACCTGGGGCAGGTGACCCCTTTGTGGCAGGGCATGTAGTAGGTGTGCTGTAGGTGTGTGGCGAGGAGTGGGAGCAGGCCGGGCCGGTAATCCAAGCTAATCTGGTGTTGGGAATGTGGCTGAGGCTTTGGATCTCAGGTCTCTTGGGTGGAACAGAAGTGGTTTCAGAGATCCTGCAGCCCCCAACGCCCTTGGGCTGGTAGCTGGGGACTCACCTGCACTATGGAGCCCATGAGACATGGCCTTTGTTTGGGTCTGGGGCGGGGTGGTCTTTGAATCGACCTTTCCCCTGTGTTCTGCTTCCGCTCGCCTCACCCTCCCAATTGTGAACAATATGCAAATATGTTTAAATATCTTCCCAGCAGATTAGGGTCACTGCCCTAGGGTCCTGGTATGATGCTTCCCCTGACACTGCTCTGCCCCAGAAGTGGCTGCATATCAGCAGCCCTCTGGGCCTTTGCAAAGCAATCTGGGAGTGCCTGGATCTCCAGTCCATGCGTCCCTCCCCATGCGGGGTGGGGCCTGGGCATGTCCAAGTTGGCTGCTGGGCTCTGTGCCTCAGTTTCCCTTTCTGTGCCAAGGGGCTGTGGTTGCTTTTCCCTCAACTCAGACCACAGAGCTTTGTTTAGCCTGCAGTAATGGGGGTGGTGGGGAATGCTGCAGCCTGCCAATCTCCCCCATCCATCCCTGCTTCAAATCTGTCCCCACAGCAGTGGATCTGCCCCCACAGGCCCCTTGGGGTGACCTTGGCTCCCCCCCACCCCGGACCCAGCTGCTCATGGGGTTCTGCCTCACCAGGCTCCAGGGAGCTGTGTTGATGTTGCTGCCCGGCTCCTCCCCCCACCCACTCCCCAAGAGGAAGCACTAGAAGGAAGCCACTGGCCCAGGGTGATAAGGAGACCAGGGCCTGATTCAGCCCTCCTCCTCCCCACCCACTGGGTCGAGAGCCCAAGAGTTCAGGCTGCTGGCTTCATCTCTGGCAGCACCTTCCTGGCACCACCTTTCCACCCCCCAGGCCCAGCTAAGCAGCTGCTTTATGAACAGGGTCAACATGCAGGCTCCTGGCATGGGTGGGCACTTGGGTGACAGGGCCTGCTTGGTGCCTACCTGCCCTGCTGGGCATGGCTGCTGCTGCTTTTTGTGGACCACCTTGGTCCCTGCTTTACAGATGGGGAAACTGAGTTATGAGGAGGGGTTGGGTATGGGGAGGCAGGCTGGGGCTGTAGATCAGGAGTGAGGGGCACTGGGAGGGGCTTTGCCCACTGGGCCTCATTGCTGCTGCCCCTGCCTGTCACCCCAGTGCCCACCAGTTGGGGTGACTGGACTCAGCTGGTTCTCCCTGCTTGGCCAAAAACTCTTGCCCCCCACGCAGCAGGGCATGGCCCCAGGGCTAGGAATGGACATGTGGTGAGAACTCTAGCAGGGGAAAATGAGGCATGAGTGGGGGTGGGGTTGGCAGGCCTGTGATGACCAGACAGACCCACCCCAGGGTCCAGCTGATGCCCAGGGCTGGCTGACTGGTTCTCCTGGCTACCCAGGCATCCACATTTGGGCCCTGCCAGCCAGCGTGGAGGGAGGGGGGGTGCCACTTGGACCCTGCCAGCTATCTGGCATGGGGGGGGG